TATATGCGTTTGACGGCGATTGCACTTATGCGGTTTCGGGTTTCTGTCACAGAACACGGGACCGACAACCCAAAGTTAGTTACAGAACACGAGACCGACGGGTGTAATCGCCGCCAAACCAGCATATAAAAGGCCGCACGACCGACCATCGGCATTCCATTCCTTCATCTGAGTTGTAGTAAGACCCACCCGGGCAGACTTACGCTTCTCAGGTGAAGGCCGTTCCCCCCGAACTTATCGGACGGTATTGATCTCGGTCAATAGTGCAATAGTCAGAGTATTCCGGCATTGTACTGTTCGACATCACTTTCGCAGTCCATGGGGCAATAGTCGGAGTATTCTGGCATTGCACCGACTGTCATACCGTTCGTTAAGTTCTCTGTCCCCGTCGTGCGGTACCTTATCATGTCGTATTCAAATCGTGTTATTTAAATATATTGTTATAATTCTTGTCATTACGAACAAAATAAAAATAAAATCTTTCATATAACAGTTATAATTTATTAGTTCAATATAATACATTTGGTCCTTCGATCCGGATGCTGGGAAACAAACCGTGACCACGTCATACTTTCCATCATCTTCAATCATCTCAAGTTCGTAATCTCATCTTACTCTCTACAATGGTGCTTCCCGCATCAATTGGTTACGTTGAAGCTAAGGCACGGGTCATCCGTGGTACCGACCGCATCACCTCATTCATTGTCGCCGCCGGTGAATACAAGGCTGATATTCAAAATGCCGGCAAACGTTCAAAGGTTGACAACATGCTGCGTGACGTGAACGACATCCGTGCAAAAGTCGAAGAAGATATCCAGTACATGGAACGGGCTGTAAGTCAAGGGACAGCGCCGGTGGATGTCACCGATACAAAGGACAGTCGGACACTCTCTGCTGCATTCGATAAACTCTATTACGAACTCACTGCCTTTTCTGATGTCCACAATTTTACGCTTGGACGAGTCCAGGATCGATCATTGACTCCGAACACGGATCCAAATAACACTATTGCAAACCTGTCTCACTATCAATTACCAAAACGCAAGTTCCCTACGTTCTCTGGTTCAATCACGGAATGGCAAGGATTCGACGACCTTTTCAACTCAATCATGTCCCACATGGCAGATCTTCCGGACGTGGAGAAATTTGAATTTCTAAAGACATCTCTCGAAGGTGAAGCGTTATCACTGGTTGTCCACCTTCCACTGACCGCCGCTAACTACTCCAGTGCATGGGGTCTATTACGTGCCCGATATGGGAACAAGCGGGATTTGGCCCGAGTCCATCTTGAAGCTCTTCTAGCTCCGCACTCGGTGCTATCTAACGATGCCGGTTCCATAAAATCTCTCATCCAGTCAATTCTGGAACACACAGCTGCATTGGACAACCTGGATCTAACCACTCGGCTATGGAGTCCAATCTTGATCCATATTTTCGAAAAATATTTGGATTACGACCTCCGTGCTCGGTGGGAAATGATTCTCGGTGAACGGCACCAACCACAGATTTCCGAATTCGTCGAGTTCTTGCGGTCTCACGTGCGGTCCGCCGAAGCTCGGTCAGGACTTTATTCTGCAGTGATCCAAGGTTCTACTGGTCACTTCCAACCCTCTGCAAACTCAAAATCCACCCGACGTCAGCATCCTACATCTTCGTCAAAGGTACTGATTGCTACCACTCACAAGTCTGCCACTACGTCAAAAACTTGTCCATTATGTAATCAGGCCCATTCAATACGTCAATGCCATATATTTACAAACCAAGGCCCAACAGAACGGTTCGAGACCATGAAGAAATTTCAACTTTGCATTAACTGTTTGGGCGCTGGACACTCTACGGCATCATGTCCATCAAAATACACTTGCCAATCGTGTCATAAAAAACACCACACATTGTTGCACTTTCCAACCAGTCCGCCCGTCATCGCAGGGACTCAGTCGCCAACATCAATGTTCGTTGCCACAAATAAACCTCAAACCATACTACTATCCACGTTACTCATCAGTGTCGTGTCAGTCAACAACCAGAAACACACGTTCCGAGCACTATTGGATACGGGCTCGCAGGTTAGTTTCATTACCAAGCAAAGTGCAGATCGCCTAGCGTTACCAATACGTCGCTGTTCAACACAAATAAGTGCCTTCTCGGGTGCATCGGTCAATGCTGTGTCTGGCGCCATTTCAATCAGCATGTCACCAGTAGGCAATTCAGAACCGTCTATTCCTCTTGATGTTTACATTGTATCAAAAATAACGGAACCCTTGCCTCAAACTTCATTCGCATATACCGCGTTGCCTCATCTGAATAAACTGAATTTAGCGGATCCAAATTTTAATATTCAAGGCCCAATTGACATTCTGTTGGGCGCCGATGTCGCCCCGGCCATCCTCACCGGAAACCGTGTTGCTGGACTCCAGTCACACCCAACAGCTTTCAGCACGGTCTTCGGATGGGTTCTGATGGGACCAGTCCCATCAAGTGCAAAGATTACATCAATGCTCGTCACCACTGAGACAACTCTCGAGCAGACAGTAAGTAAATTTTGGGAGATGGAGGAACTCCCAAAGGTTCAACATCTTAGTCCTGACGAAATTCAGGCAGAAACCATCTTTACATCTTCAATCAAACGCCTAACTTCTGGACGGTTTAGTGTTGCCTTGCCATTTAAACATCCCCGTCCAATACTCGGTGACTCAAAAGGTAGCGCGCTCAGAAGATTTCATGCTCTCGAACGGCGTCTGGCTCAAGATCCAAACTTGGGCAAAAAATACTCTGACTTTATGCAAGACTACTTGGAAAGTAAACACATGGAAATAGTTCCCGACAGCAATAAAATAACACCTTATTGCTATTACATACCGCATCATTGTATCCTGCGTCCGGAAAGTCAAACTACAAAGCTTCGGGTAGTTTTCGACGCCTCATCTCAAACTACATCTGGGCAGTCATTAAATTCCAGCGTGTACACTGGACAGAAGTTACAGCAAGAAATGACCAACATTCTGATTCGATCTCGAGTACACAAGTTTTTATTCACTGCGGATATCAAACAAATGTATCGACAAATCCAAATTCATGCAACCGATCGGGATTATTTACGTATTCTTTGGCGTTTTGAACCAGACTCACCAATTCAAGAATATCGCCTCTGTACGGTCACATATGGCTCCTCTTGTGCTCCACACCAAGCACTACGCACAATGCAACATCTGGCAACAATTGAAGAGTCAAGGTTTCCAATTGCTGCTAAATTGCTGAAGAATGACATGTTTGTTGACGACATTCTTACAGGAGCTCAGTCAGAAGAGGATACATTATTCTGCCAACAACAGGTGATTGCTCTGTGTGCTCAGGGGAAGTTCCAACTTAGGAAGTGGGCTAGTAATCTACCCAGCATCTTACAAGCGGTACCCACCTCTGAATGCTCTATAGATCCCGCTGTACTATTCGATGACGAAGGGCAAGCAATACTCAAGATCCTCGGCATGTATTGGAATCCCACGCAGGACTACTTTTCGTACAACTATCATAGTCCAAGCTTCACGACAACTAAACGTTCAGTCTTATCAGATATGGCACGTATCTTCGATCCTTTGGGTTTCTTAGCACCCGTTACCTTCCTGGCCAAATATGTAATGCAATTATTATGGACGTCTGGAATTGGTTGGGACGATCTCGTCCCCGAACAAATACTCACAATTTGGAAGCGGTATCAATAGGAGCTAAAAGGCATACAAACATTAACTATTCCTCGTCGAATCACGTTAGATGGGCATCCAACATATGAGTTACATACATTCTCCGACAGCTCGGAAAAGGGTTATGCTGCAGTCGTGTATTTGCGTTGTATTAGTGGTTCCACGATTCAATGTCACCTTATCACAGCAAAGTCAAAGGTAGCTCCACTTAAACACGTCACCATTCCTCGGTTGGAACTCTGCGGAGCGCTACTTGCTGCAAAATTGTTGCATTCAGTCCACCACATTTTCGCCTCGATCATACCCATCGCTACAATGCACGCGTGGACTGACTCAACCACCGCTCTGGCTTGGATTAAATCA